AACACTCTCTTCTCCTCTCAGGGTATGCTACAACCAGAAAGTAATCCAAATAAAATGCAAATGGATTCTGATTTAGGAGAGAAAAGCCAGAGCTGGTTACCTACTCCGTCGTCCTCTCAATCTTTGCCCCAATCACATGAATCATCACCAAGAGCCCGTTGGGATGATAAATTTAGTATTGCGGGACAATCAAGCATCTCCTCATCTTATATGCATGGGAGCTCTATTGCAGAAATTACATCCAGTCCTACATTTCCAAGGAATCAGCTTCAAACACAACATCTGTTTAGTGTACCTGGAGCAGGTCCATCTACACAGGCAACGTTACCTGGTACTGCCAGTAGACATTCACCTTCCAACCTTGCTCTACCTCAAGGTACTTCTCAGCAGATTTTTATCAACCCTGGTGGTCAACAATTCCCTGTTCTTGAAGCTGTGCCAGTATCTCAGTCTCCTTATATGTCAGGCATGCCTGCACGGGGTGGAGCTTCAGTGAGGCCACAGGGTTTATGGACAAATAACCCAAGTCAGCAACATCTTTCTGGTATGGAAACTCAAAAGGTTCCTTTGGTAAATCATGATAGCATGGATACTACTCCATTGGCTTCGGAGCTAAATAGTCTAAATACTCAAGAAGGTGGATATAGGTCATCGGAATTTGGTGCCTCTTCTATGAATTTACAAGGCTTCATTTCTTCAGAAGAGCAGCAAGGGAAGGAGAGGGCCCAGAAGCCAGTGTCATCTGGAATGCTTGATGCATCACAGACAGGGGTAAGGAATGTCTCTGATCCAAGAGCTTTGGCCTCTGGCTCATTGTTGAATCCCTCTGCAAGAAATCTTGGATTTTTTGGCCATGCTTTAAAACCTTCACATGGCTTTCATCAAAATTACTCCCCGCTGCGCCAAGTGCAGGCAATAATGAATGTAGAGACTGATCCAAGTGGGAGGGATCTGGATGAACAACAGGTAAATGCTGTGGCAGGGCAGCAGTCAACTTATGGTCATAACAAGGATGATGAACTGAGTTCTGCATCAGCTCTCAAGTCATCGCCACATGGAAATTCCAAAGCACCAAGTTTCTTGACTGATGCAAGAGAAGATCCAAGTGTAAAAACTACTTCACCATCTGCTTTCCAAGCCCAAGGCATGGTTGCATTTGGTGAAAGTGATTCCCAGAGTCAATCTACTGGCAATACTGTGTTATCTAATCAGGCAGAAACTTCTTGGGGCAATTTACGCATGGCACCCAACTGGTTTAAGCAGTATGGGACTTTCAGAAATGGGCAGATGCCACCAATGTATGATGCAAGGCTTGCACGGACTGCTGCAGGGCAGTTCTCTCTTGTGAAGCCTTCGCAGAGTCTAAACATACATTCTCCCGTGGAACAGATAGATGCTTCTGATGCTAGTCAAAGCAGCAGAGTCTGGCCAAGTACAGCTGCCAATTTAGTGGGAAGTGAACCAATAACTCCTTCTGTGTTGCCTTCAGATGCCATTGATGGAAATACGGCTAGTGTTAGACCAAAGAAACGCAAAATTGCAACATATGAACTTCTACCATGGCACAAAGTGACACAAGGGTCCAAAAGAGTTCATGATATCAGGTATTTTGTTATTGCCCATTTCTTTGCTTTTATGTCAATCTTGGTGTGTAGAAGATGAGTTACTTCTGATTAGATATTCTTTTCTTTCTTCTCAAAGACTCATCTTTTTTACCCACTGAAGTGCACAGCTGACCCTTTTCACATCTGTCACTTGAATGCAAGAAAAAAATATTCTCTTATTTTAGCCTAATTTCTTCTTAAATTTCTCTGTTCTCGTACATATACCCAGCATACACACTACTTGGGTCATTTTCTGCTCATGTTTGTTAACTTTTGTAGTGCACTTGTTTATGCAGTATGTCAGAGCAAGACTGGGCACTGGCATCCAATCGGCTGATTGAGAAAGTGAGCTTTTAGTTAAATAGATCATACAATGCAATTCATTCTACTTTAAAATTTCATCCGGATACTCAGATCCAAGTGGTTATAATATCGTTCATTTTTAATGGCAGGTTGGGGATGAGTTTGAAATGTTTGAAGATGGGCATCAAATCCTTCGATCTAAGAGAAGGCTTATTTGCACAACACAGTTTCTGCAGCATTTGCTTGGCCCTGCACCCGCATCCATTCTCTCAGCAGATGCTGCTCTGTACTATGATAGTGTGATATATTTTGTTACTAAATTATCATTAGGGGATGCATGCAGCCTGACCTGCAGCAAAAGAAACAGTGTTCATATGCCACCAAACGACGGTAATATGTAAGTGTCATCTTCATGGGTTTTTGAAAAATTGAGAGGACTTGTAATCCGATTTGAAGTTTACAAAAAATACTTGTAGTTGAAATTGTATGCCTCGAGCATTTGGCCTTCTAAGAAGTAATTTCTTTGTAAATGATTTGTAGGATTCTGGAAAGGCTTAAGTTCTCTGAGAGTATTGATGACCAGTACTTTTCAAAAGCTGTTGGAGACTTCACAAATAGATTTAAAAAGCTGGAAAATGACTTACTGAGGTATGGCAAAGTTTTCCCTTCCTGAAATCCTTTTGACATTTATGGTAACTACACTGTCATACAGTCTTTGTTGGGGGATAAATGCAGAAAAATGTTTCTTGGAACCAACTTTAAGCAGTTGGACTAAGCCTCTGCTAGAAGTTTACTGGGGTACTCATACATTTTTGCCCAATATAATCACCTATCTATTCCCAAGGTTCCGGACCCAAAAAAAGAAAAAGAAAAAAGATTCCCAAGGGTAAAATTAATATTCTGTGTTTTTCAATTCAGAATTACATAGAGTGAGAATTGGATAACCTTTAAAATTCTGCCTTGATAATTTTTCAGAATCGATACCTTTAGTATATGTAGCTATGCATTGAGCCATATAGTTAAATTCTCTTATATCATGGTATCTTTTAATGTTACAGGTTAGACAGGACGGCATCAATTTTAGATTTAAGGCTGGAATGTCAGGAGTTGGAAAGATTTTCAGTCATCAACCGGTTTGCCAGGTTCCATGTCCCCCGAGCAGATATGTCTGCAGTCCCTTCTTCATCTGGTACAATACCAACTGCACTAAGACCATGTCCCCAGCGATATGTCACTGGACAGCCACTGCCGAGGAATCTACCAGAGGGGGTACAGTGTCTTTCACTGTGATTATCAATTGATTGATCCTCTCCCCAGCTGAATCCTCTTCTCTTTTCATCTATATTTGCATTCCGTATCCCGCTCATGCACCGGTCTATGATCACTTTTTACTGACATATATGCTGGCATTGAAGAAGGAAGATGGAATGCAGGAAGTGGTCGAACCCAAGTAACGAAGGCTGCTCGTTCATTTTTGAACCAACACCTATTGTTGTCATTTTTGGGAAAGTACATATTGTTCTTTTGTATATTTTGATGAAGTTCCAAGGAGAATAGGTAGTACCTGAAGTAGCAGGAGGACCGTTGGTGTGCACGTGTCTCTAGTTGCCTAAGTTGTTGCATAAATTAGTTTAATTTAGCATACCTAATTTATACAGGAATATCTGGTGGCTGAGAGCACTGTAGTATTTCCTCGTCTCTTTCTCCCCCTCCACTTTTTCCCTTTTTGTCTGTTTACAGGTCTTTTGCTGCATAAAAGCTGTGCTGGCCGAACTGGAGAGTTGGGATGTTTGAGGGGCAAAGCAAATTAGTTAGTCAAATTGAATAATATTCTGGAAAAAGGTACAGTTTGGTTGTAATTTTATAATCCAACAGATGCTTTTATTTTACTCTGGAGACTCCACCACAAATATGGGAGAGTTTTTAAAAGTTTCTGACTGTTCCCCTTGCCCCTTAATGATAATATCTTTTCATTGGTCACGTGTCTTCCTATGTTGATGATACCTTGACTTGGATTTAGAATTTCTATTGGGGAGCACAAAATCTCTCTGAAAAGGTTGCCCGAAGCTTCCAATTCCATGACAACTTTTTCTCTTGTTTGGTTGGAAAAGTACAAGGTTTCAGTTTCAAGATCTTGATTTGATTCTGTGTCCCTCAAATGTCATAAAGCGTTTGCATATGCATATGCTTATGATGGAGTAAAAGACAAGACAAGACAAAGAAAGGCTTTTATTAATTATGGTACAGAGGACAAAAACTAAACAAAAAGGTATGGAATGGTGTTGGATTGGATTCTAAGTACTTGCTTGTTTGTCTTCCATTGGAAAATTGACTGAAAGCAGCAGCCACTGACACGTCAGACAGTTTGTGATCCTCCTCCTCCCTCTTAGTAACTAACTTAACTAATTTAACCAACCTGGTGTCCACCCTGTCTGCATCAGAATCTGATCCATTCATGATTGGAAAGTGATGTGAAAACTGAGAAAATCCTAAACAAGGATAAAAACGACCCACCAAAGGTTTTTAAAAAAAAATTGTTTGTTTTGTTTTTCATAAAATGATGATAAAACCTGTGGGGTTACTTGGTTTTGGTTCGGCATGCATATTCCGAGGAAGCTTGGATTAGGTGGGCTTCGGTGCTTTGTACGGTACAGGGGAGATCACTGTTGACTGCTGACAACATCGATTTGTTGTTTTTGTTTTCTGAAAAGGCAAGCACTTCCCTGTAATTTTACCATCATCTCCACAATCTCCACGTGGGTTTAAGACTTTTTGCCAACTGGAATGTGGGACCCGAATCACCATGGATCCACCAAATATTTCTTAGGAACGTTGGGATAATTCCTTTTGGCGGTGTACTATATACTTATGTGGTCCTTGGTCCTTGACCAATATTTTTATTGTTACATAAAAAGGCTTTGTTGGTCCAATAAATAAAAAGAAAAATTACTCGAAATTAGTTTTCCTTTTCTCAAGGAGGAATTCTGCGGTCCTAGCTTGACTAGGAATTCCTTGTTTTGTAGGAAAAAAGAAAACCCTACGAGACTAGGATTACTTTTCACATCCCACGTTATAAAACCTACCATTCAGCCCATTAGAACCACAATACCCACAAATCTCAAACAAGACTTCAAGAAAAGCCATTAGAAGCACAACACAATATACTCAAATCTCAAACAAGACTTCAACAAAAGCTATAACCTCTCTCTCTCCTTCTCTCAACCATGCAAAAGGCCACGCAAAAGACCAAGCAAAAGGAGGATTGGGATAAGGGGTTTTGCAACGACGGTGGGTTTTGTTCAGACTGCAAGGCATACACAGACGTTGTGCTCGACCACCGGTCCGGTGACACAATCTGCACCCAATGCGGCCTGGTTCTTGAAGACCACGCTGTGGATTTCACTGCCGAGTGGCGAAACTTTGATGATCAAGACTCTACCAACGATCCTTCACGCGTCGGCTCTCGCTCCGATCCTTTACTGAACAATGGTGTTCTTACCGTTAACATCTCCAACGACAACAAGAAGGCTGTTTCTTGTGTTCTTCCTCGGCTCCACAAGACTCTCCAAAACCCAGACAAGTCTCTCCACATTGCTTTTGAGACCCTTGGTATGATGGCCGACCGGCTAGCCCTAGTTACGGCGATACGAGACCATGCCAAAGAGCTGTACAAGAACGCCGACGATCGCAAGTTTTGTAGGGGAAGAAACTGTGATGCTATAATGGCTGCCTGCCTCTTTCTTGCTTGCCAAGAAAAGGGTTTTCCCCGAACCCTAAAGGAAATCGCGATGGTCGCCAACGGTGCCACAAGAAAAGAAATCAACAGAATGAAAGAGCTCTTGAAGAAAATACTAGAGGTTGATTCGAAGACTACAGATATTGGGGATCTTTCGCGGCGGTGCTGCTCCATGATTGGTATGGCTAATCAAGATATGAAGGCTGTGTTGGAGACTCTGAACAAGTCGAAAGAGATTGATGTAAGGAGAAGCCCTAAGTCTGTTTTGGCAGCGGTTATGTACATGATAGCGCAGCTCTCCAATGACAAGTCAACTCGAGAGTTAACTCTTCATGGTACATAACTCAAACTAATTAATCTCTCCAATTTTCATACATATTCTGTTTAATTTTTGACAATTTGGTTAATTTTCATGCATATTTTGTTTAATTTGGTTTCAATGATTTCTGTAATCTCTTAATTAATAAGCATATATATAATTAATTTAAATCTAGTTAATTTATTAGTTCCAAATTAGTGTTGTGTCATATTTTTAATTTGGTAATCTTGAAGCATTAAGAGGGCTTATAGATCATATTGCAACATTTTAATTTGCAATTTTGATATTTGTATGCATGGATTTTAACACAGCTGTGTGTGGATATTGCAGCTGTCTCACAAGCAGCTGATGTTGCTGTAGCGACAACTAAGAAGGCATACAAAGATCTATATCCCTATGTTTCAAGGATAATACCCAACTGGTTTGTCAAGTTGGAGGACCTCAAGATACTTTGCCTCCCTTGAAGGTGTTAGAGCCAAACGATATAACATTGAGGGTAGGCTACTTGGTTAGTCTGACGACAGAACCCTTATGTATAGAGATTGCTCGCCTAATCCTCTAGAAGATAATCTGATTTGTTTACTTGTTTACTTTCTCCCAATAATACATTATTATTGGGAAGGAAAATATGGAAGAAAAAAGTTGAGATATTAAACATTTTTCAAATTAAATAATTAATAACAAGTTTTGTGGATGCTTTATGCATATTAAATTTGTACAAAAGACCAGAGTTTTAGAGTTTCACTTTTTGTTATTTATCATGACGCACGTCTCCATCATTATTATAAATACTTTATTTCTGTGAATTATTCTACAATGAAATTCTACAATTGTCAAGTGAACGAAAGGTCCAACCTTATAATTTTTTGAGATCAGTTGGACGAAAGGTCCAACCTTGCAGTTGTCAAGCTCATGGGGACAAAAGGTCCAATCTAGTAAGTGATCATGTTTATTGACATAATGTTGTGCACAACATCCTAGATCAGAAATTCGTCTACATTAGATATTTTTCTACATTAGAATTCAACTCAATCTACAACTTTGAAGCAATTGATATTTAGCTCAATGTGATCAACAATTTTTATGCAACTCCCCAAACAAGAGTCTTGTTTGGGGACTTGGGAGACTTCTGTTTGTGAGTAAAATTACCCTAGGGCTGAGCTTCATATGGATTGAAATTCTAATCAGAGATGGACTTTTACTTTGAGGCTAATTAGGAAGCCAACTTCTACAAGGATTTGATTATCTCCAAGTGATTATATAAAGGCAACTCTTAAACTTGAAAGGGGTTCCTGAAGGCTTTTCTCTTGGTTCCTCTGGCGATATCTCAACCCTACTATATCGATATTTGATCTTGTTCATTATAATTATGAGTGTTATATGTGTAATTGGGATATGGGTTGTGAGAATCAAACACTTTGTACCCCGTGGACGTAGCCCTATTATGGATGAACCACGTAAATCTCTTTTGTCACTTGTGTTGTGCGAAAACACTCCAAGACCTTGTCATTGATGAACTACGAAACTATCACACACAAGCCACGTAAAGATAAAGCACTCCCATAACCATAAAGTAAACACACACACAAAGAACACAAGAATTTATAGAGGTTCGGCGTTGTGCCTACGTCCTCTTGGTGATCCCCGAGAAATTCACTAGTATGAAATAACCCCTTTGGTTACAATGAAGACCCCTCTTGATCTCTCAAAAACCCTAGTTTTCCTTTCTCTCACCCTTGGCTCAAACCCAATTTGATGCCTTAGGTTTCTCACGTTACAATAACCTAGCGCTAAAATGACTATTTATATGTCATAAGGCTTTAGTACAACTATGGAAGGAATAGGAAACTTAAAGGACTCCAAAACTAAGAGAAAATCTGTCCAAATATGCGCTGGATTCGCATGTCCCGCTCGATCGTTTATGTCAGCTCAAGTCTGAGCACTATCGCTTTAGTAGGCACTCAAGCTCCTGGGTCTGGGCGAGACGTACCGCTCTGCCGCTTGAGTGCCTGTAGTTTCCTCTCGAGCGGCAGAGAAGCGGCAGAGCCCAGTCAAATTGCTGCAGCTCTTTTGACTGTCTGTTTTCTTCACTTCTTCCACATCTTTAAGTGAGCCAAACATCAACAATCTCCACCTTGGCGAGCCTTAAACACCTTATGAAAATCATTGATCCCTAGAACCTCTTCAAACCTTTTGGAAACCGTTCTAGTAATTCCCAAGAGCTCCATCTCAATCTTTTAGCATTTAACAAGATTGAACAAGCTCAAAAAATGTCTGAACTTCTCAACTGTGACTAGCTTGGTCAAGCAATCCGAAGCGTTCTAATCCGTATGAACCTTCTCTATTGCAATATCCTCATTGGTCACCCAATCCCTTATCCGGTGGTACCATACATCAATATGCTTAAACCTTCCATGAAACACTTGATTCTTGACTAAGCATATATATAACACTTTGACTGTCATCCCTTTGTATCACCACCAAGTCTTGAGCTATCCTAAACTCTTTAGCCAATATTGTCAGCCATAATGCTTCCTTAGAAGCCTCCGTTAGTGCTATATACTCTGCTTTAGCAGTACACAAGGCAGTAACTGATTGTAGCACCGCTCTCCACCTAATCGGTCCTCCACCACAAGTGAAAACATACCTCATGGTGGATATCCTCTTGTCTATGTATCCTGCATAATCCGAATACATATAATCTGGAATACATGTTTTTCTTTGTTGTCTTTCAAACAAAATCTCAAGCTTCTTGGTGCCCTTCAAATACTTGAAAATCCACTTCACTGCATTCTAATGTTGTTTACCCGGATTTGCAATATATCTTGAAACTACGCTCATAGCTTGAGCTAAGTCAGGGCGTGTGTATACCACATTGCGCACATGAGACACCCTACCGCACTTGCATAAGGAACCTTACTCATCTCATCATTCTCTTTGTCATTTGAAGGACTCTCTTGGGGACTTAGTCTAAAGTGCTCCGCCAAAGGAGTAGACACATGCTTGTAATCCACCATGTTGAATCTCTCAAGTATCTTAGATATGTACTTGCCTTGTGACAGCCACAAGTTGCTCATATCGGTCTCTCCTTATTTCCATTCCTAGGATCTTTTGTGCGGGACCAAAATCTTTCATGTCAAACTCCTTCCCAAGTAGAATCTTCAACTCTCGAACCTTTGACATGTCTTGACACGCAAAAAGCATATCATCCACATAGAGCAGCAACATGATGATTTTTCGATCCTTGAACGCATGAGAGTACACACAGCAATCCGATTCGCATCTTCTATACCCAATTCGTAGCATATGTGTGTCAAAGCGCTTGTACCACTATCTTAGAGATTGCTTGAGCCCATACAAAGACTTCTTCAACCTACAAACCAGATTTCCTTTACTCACTTCAATGAGCCTTTGAGGTTGACTCATATAGATGTCGTCCTCTAAGTCTTCATAGAGGAACACCATTTTCACATCCATTTGCTCCACCTCCATGTCCCATTGTGCCACTATGGAAAGCAATAACCGTATAGAAGTATGTTTCACCACCGAAGAGAAGATCTCATCATAATCAACTCCTTTCTTTTGTAAGTACCCATTGGCCACTAAACGAGCTTTGAATCTAGTTGGCTATTTCTCATATATCCCTTCCTTATTCCTAAACACCCACTTGCAGCCGATCACCTTCCGATATTTGGGTTTAGAAACCAACTCCCAAACAGAGTTCTGGTGTAGAGATTCCATCTTATCCATCATAGCACTCATCCAACTTTCCCGCTCCGAACTCTCAACAGCTTCTTGGAACATGGTTGGATCTCCTTCATTCATCTTTAGAGCATAGTGAACTGCATCCGTCTCCCATCCAAACTGTTGAGGAGGTTTGATGGTTCTCTTAGGCCTGAACGTAGCTGTAAATGGCGGCTCCACCTGAACTTGAGCCTCTTCTTCTTGTTCATCTTGAGTTTGTTGTTGTTGTTGCCCAATTTCTTCCACCTCAGTATCGGACTCCACCACCTCATGAACGTCTTCAATTGGCTGCATACTTGGAGTTTCCCCAAACACCTCATTTGGTGAAATTGTAACGGTTGTCTTTGTTCCAACAACATCTTCTTTCGCCTCTAGTTTCTTAACTTTGATTATAGGCATGATTTTCTTATCAAACACAACGTCTTTACTGAGTATTTTCTTCTGATTCACTGGATCTCATAGCTTGAAACCTTTCATACCGTTCTCAAAGCTGAGGAATATACACTCAAGAGATTTTGATTTCAACTTGGTTATCCCATCACTAGATATAAGGGCATAGGCATTGTATCCAAATACTTTCAAATTAGTATACTTAATAGATTTATTTGACCATAACTTTTCCACACACTTGAAGTTAAGATACTTCGATGGTGACCGATTAACCAAATAGGAAGCGTGGTTAACCGCCTCCACCCAAAATGCCTCGGGCAAGCCGGCATGAATCCTAATGCACCTCTCATACTCCATGAGATTTCTATTCATCCTTTCCAGGGCTCCATTTTTTTGGGGCGTCTTCTTCACAATAAAATGCCACTTGACACCTTCGCTCTTGCACAACTTCAGAAATTTGCTATCTTTATATTCTCCTTCATTGTCACTTCTTAGGATCTTCTTTCCCATAAGGTTCTCTACTTCCGCCTTCCACTCCTTGAATTTGGTGAAGACCTCGGATTTCTTCTTCATGAAATAGACTCAAACCTTCCTAGAAAAATCATCCAAGAATATGACATAGTAGCGAGCTCCACCCAATGACTTGACCGGCGCTGGCCCCTATACATCCAAGTGAATATAATCGAGCATTCTCGTGCTCCTATTCTCTTTCTCTTACTGCTTGAATGCCACCTTCAACTGCTTCCCCATGGTATAGAATTTACAAAACTTAAGTTTACAACTATGCATTCCCTTCATAAGCTTCCATTTGTGCAACTCTTGCATGGCTTGCTCATTCATGTGCCCTAGCCTCAAGTGCCAAAGCTGAGTATCATATGAGTCCTTCTTAGAAGATATAGCTGCTCCACCAGTCACCATTGTACCACATAGTCGATACAAGCAGTTAGGTTGAATCTCTCTATTCATAACCACAAGTGAACCCTTTGAGATTATGAGCTTCCCTCTATTGGCCTTGTAGGAATAGCCAATCTTGTCAAAGGTACCGAGAGAGATGAGATTCTTCTTCAACTTTGGTATATACATAACCATACCCAATGTCCTAACCACATCGTCGTGCATCTTCATCTTGATTGTACATATTCCTTTGACTCTACAAACTGAGCCGTCTCCCATCATAACTTCATCACTGTAGTCCACCTTATACGTGTCAAACCAAGATTTGTTTAAACACATATGATATGAGCACCTGGAATCTAAAATCCAATCAGAAGATGAAACCCTAGAATAGATATCAAGTGTATCAATATTAACAATGCTATCAGTAAATAAAAGCTCACCATCGTTATCCTCCTCGACTCTGGCTTCATTCTGCGTCTTCCCTTTGTTTCTCTTCTCTCTCCATGTAGGACAATTCTTCTTCCAATGATCCTTTGACCCACATTCAAAACAACTGTCTTTCGCCTTGAATTTTGATCTTCCCCTATTTCTCTTCTTGCCTTCACGCTTGCTCGATCGACCTCTCTCTCCGGACTTTGGTACAAGACCTTCACCTTGAGAGGCATCGCTAAAATGTTGAACCATTATGTCATGAGTCATGATGTCTTGCATGACCTCTTCATACTTCAAAGTTCCCTTCTCAAACATAAGTGTCGTGCTGAAGTGTTTATAATACGGTGGCAGGGATGTTAGTAATATCACAGCCTTGTTTTCCGACTTATAAATCTCATCCATCCTCTACAAGTCAACAATACACCTGTTAAAGGCGCTCACGTGCTCCATTACCCTCCTCCATCTTTAGAGAGTGAAGCTCATCCTTCAAGAAGAGCTTGTTAGACAACGATTTGGTTGCAAACATCCCTTTGAGTTTCACCCATGTCTGCTTTATGGTGTCTTCCATCGCATTACACAACACCTCATCGGTTAGATATTGTTAAATGGATCCTCTAACAAGCTCGTCTAGATCCTCCCAATCTGCATCTGTTATGGTTATCGGCTTCTTTTCCTTGCCTCCTAAGACTTTGCTGAGACCTTGCTGCTTAAGGACATACTTCATCCTTCTTTGCCAAAGCATGAAGTTCTCCTTGTCGATGAACAGCTTTAACTCCACCTTCATACTTGATACACGTGGTAATTTAATACCGAAACTTTCTTCATCCTTGTCGTCTGCCATCGTCAACACACCACCGCTCTTAAAGTTGTAAGAGCACTTGGGCATAAACTAATACCCACCGCAACTGCAACTCTGATACCACTTATTGTGCGAAAACACTCTAAGACCTTGTTGATGGAATACGAAACTATCACACACAAGCCACACAAAGATAAAGCACTCCCATAACCACAAAGTAAACACGCACACAAATAACACAAGAATTTTTAGAGGTTCGGCGTTGTGACTATGTCTTCTTGGTGATCCCCGAAAAATTCACTTGTATGAAAGAACTCATTTGGTTACAATGAAGAACCCCATTTGATCTCTCACAAACCCTAGCTCTCATTTCTCTCACCCTTGGCTCAAACGCAATTTGATGCCTTAGCTTTCTCACATTACAATAACCTAGCGCTAAAATTCCTATTTACATGTCATAGGGCTTTAGTACAATTATGGAAGGAATAGGAAACTTAAGGGACTCCAAAACTAGGAGAAAATCTGTCCAGATTTGCTAAGGATACGCACTGGATTCGTGTGTCCCGCTCAAGCGCCTGTGTCCTCTCGAGTCCGAGCATTGACACTCGAGCACCTGGGTTTGGGCGAGAAGTACCACTCTGACGCTCGAGCGCCTGTAGTTTCCGCTTAAGCACCAAAGCCTAGTCAAACTGCTGCAACTCTTTTGATTGTCTATTTTCTTCACTCCTTCTGCATCTTTAAGTGAGCCAAACATCAATAGCTTGATTGCATGTTCTTACTTAACTTCTATTTGCAAGTGCAATCCCTAAGCACTAGAACTTGTTCTAGGGGACATGCCAAGTTGGTTTGGAAGGATTGCTGACCTTGATCTCAAAGAGGTCATTTTCTATTAAACCAATTTTAGGCATCAACAATAATTATTTTCAACTTTGAGCATTTCATCATAGTAAATGGATATATGATGGATTGATCATGGTCGGAACCATAACCAAGGCTGTAGTGGGCTATGGCCCAATAAGTTTTAAAGAACAACTAATAATAAACCTATATCTACATGGCCCACCAATAAGTTTGCTGTCTTTTGGTTTTTTGGTGAAATTATCTGTTGCCTTTAGCAAAACGTTTTTTAAGAAAAGAAAAAAAAACCTATATGGCCCACCATTAACTGCAACACATTAGGGAAATATTATTTTCTTAAGTTCATTTGTGTTCTCTTTCAAGAACGAAACAAAATGTTAACCTAATTCTATGATCTTATGTTTACAACTAATATATATGTGAAAGTTAATTATTTATATGTTTGCACTTTACATTTTAGAAGCTTGATTGGTTGATGCCAAGAACGGATTTAAAATGCGAAGAAAAAAAATCTTTAAATGTTAAGCTAAAAAATTTAGCTAACTCACCCACCAAAAAATTCATAGTTCCACCCTTGGGATTGATGTTCCCAAGGCTATTTCCAAAGCAAAGGCAAACAAATAGTGAATAAGCCATCATAATGAATACAGGTTTTGGTTCTGCGAAATCTTGATTAAATTAGTGGTTGTAGATTTATCAATTTAAAAAATGTATTTGACAATTCTATTAGAAGAGTTCTGTATATGATACAAATAGTTGTATGTTTTCTATATTTTGGGATATGGAATCAGACCCTTACTCATCCATTTAAAGAAAAACATCTAACAAGATGAAGAACTTGACCTCTGTACATCAATGCAATGCAAATACTAATTTAGTCCAAGAAGTTGTTGAGTTCTGTTATTGTCTTTTCTTTTCATAGTCATTCAGTTAAAGCAAGAGAGTCCAACCACAATCATGGATGGAATATGCACAACCAAAGGTTCAAAGGGTAATTTTGCTAGACTTCTTAGACAAGGCCTTACTAGGAAAGCTACCGAAGCTCAAGCGACTGTAGCAGCACACTTGTAGCTTTTCAGAAAAGTTCAAGTCTTTTGTTGGGTAAATACTTCTATGAGGGGTTTGTTTGTTGGTTCGGTCAATACTTCAACGAGGGTTTTTTTTTTTTTTTTTTTTTTTTTTGTTTTTTTTTTTTTTTTTTTTTTTTTGTCGGTGCTTCTACGAGGGTTTGTTTGTTAGTATTTTAGATAGGGGGGACAAATTGGGGCGGAGCGACTAAGGGACCAGAGTGGTCCCGGCCTTTTATTAAATAAAAAAAAATCTGTATATTGATATATTTTCTGATACTATTAATATTTTAAAGTTTCATTTTCAAGCATATATATATTGTTTTCTCTTTTTTTTTTTTTTTTTGTTAATCCTCTCTTTTTTTTTTCTTTTTTTTAATTTATTGTTTTCTCTTAACTTATGGCTTGTTTGAGTTAGGAAATTTTGATTTATTCTCTCTATTGAGTTTAATAAATCTTTCAATTTATGTGTAGATTACCGAAAGAAAAAAGTTATAAAGATTTTTTATATATGCGATATATAATATTTTGGTAATTTTGGTTACTTTGGTATGCATTGTGAGTTCAAATTTATATATATATATATATCACTTCTCCATATAATCACCTGAAGTGATTTTAAGTGATTTTAAGGAAAAACACTTTAAAATGATTATATGTATAAGCTTGTGGGAGGTGCTTCTCCTAAGTCCTTGGTGTTTTTCTTTTTTGAAAAAGCATTTCCCTGTCATTTTACCATCATCTCCACAAATCTCCACGTGGGTTTAGGACTTTTTGCCAACTGGAATGTGGGACCCGAATCACCATGGTCTGGAGGTCCTTTTGCCAATTGTAATAACTTGGCTAGGAAGTCCTTGTTTTGTAGCAAAGCTTATAGAAAGAGAAAACACTACGAGACTAAAATGCATCTTCACATCCCATATAAAAACGTATCTTTCAACCCATTAGAAGCACAATACACACAAATCTCAAACAAGACTTCAAGAAAAGCCATTAGAAGCCCAACACAATATACACAAATCTCAAACAAGACTTCAACAAAAGCTATAGCCTCTCTCTCTCTCTCTCTCTCAACCATGGAAAAGGATAGTGAGTTTTGTTCAGACTGCAAGGCATACACAGAGGTTGTGCTCGACCACCGGTCCGGTGACACAATCTGCACGGAATGCGGCCTGGTTCTTGAAGAACGCGCTCGCTCCGACCCTTTAACGGACAATGGTGTTCTTACCGTTAACATTTCCAACGACAACAAGAAGGCTGTTTCTTGCGTTCTTCCTCGGCTCCACAAGACTCTCCAAAACCCAGACAAGTCTCTCCACATTGCTTTTGAGTCCCTTGGTGTGATGGCCGACCAGCTAGCACTCGTTGCCACGATACGAGACCATGCCAAAGAGCTGTACAAGAAGGTCGACAATCGCAAGTTTTGTAGGGGAAGAAACTGTGATGCTATAATGGCTGCATGCCTCTTTCTTGCTTGCCAAGAAAAGGGTTTTCCCCGAACTCTAAAGGAAATCGCGACGGTTGCCAATGGTGCCTCAAGAAAAGAAATCAACAGAATGAAAGAGCTCTTGAAGAAAATACTAGAGGTTGATTCGAAGACTACAAATGTCGGGGATCTTTCACGGCGGTGCTGCTCCAGGATTGGTATGGCGAATCAAGATATGAAGGCTGTGTTGGAGACTCTCAACAAGTCGGAAGAGGTTGATGTAAGGAGAAGCCCTCAGTCAGCTTTGGCAGCGGTTATGTACATGATAGCTCAGCTCTCCAATGACAAGTCAACTCGAGATTTAACTCTTCAAGGTACGTAAGTCAAACTAATTAATTAATCTCTCGAATTTTAATTTCATGCATGTTTTGTCAATTATTCATTTAATCTTCTTAATTAAGAAGCATATAATTAATTTAAAGCCAGTTTATTACTTAATTAAATGTTGTGTCATGTTTTTTAATTTGGTAATCTTAAAGCATTCAAGAGGGGGCTTATTGATCATATATATTGCAACATTTAATTTGCAATTTTGATGCTTGATTTGTATGCATGGAGCTGTGTGTGATATTGCAGAGGTCTCACAAGCAGCTGATGTTGCGGTAGCGACAACTGAGAAGGCATACAAAGATCTCTATCCCTATGCTTCAAGGATAATACCCAACTGGTTTGTCAAGTTGGAGGACCTCAAGAAACTTTGCGTCCCTTGAAGGTGTTAAAGCCAAACGATATAACATTGAAGCTAGCCGTTGACATTGATAAGAGTTTCCTAATTGAATTGTAACAAGTAGTTTTTACCGATACGAGTCTAGGGGGATTGGAGGTGCTCTATGAGGGGCAAAGGTTCCCTTTCCTGCTTTGCAGTTGAGAGAGTAGGCTACTTGGTTAGTCCGACGACCGAACCCTTATGTTATGTGTAGAGATTGCTCCCTAATCCTCTAGACCATAATCTGATTTTTGTACTTGTTTACTTTCTCCTATCAATAAATTATTATAGGTTACTAAAATATGGAAGAAAAAAGTTGAGAAATTAAATAAGTAATAACAAATTCTGTGGATGCTTAATAAGTATCCACAGAATTTGTTATTACACGATTATTTATTTGATATTCTATTTTAAACCAAAAATAAAACCAATAAATCCATACAGCAGAGAGAAAGGACAAATAATCAACAATTTATTGGCTCAATCCAAAAATAATAATAACAATCAAACAATTTAAAAGACTGGTGGGGAATAGAATTATTTGATTCCAATATTGAGATTCCAATTCAGATCAAAGCATATGAAGAAAATGCCTTGACCGATTGACTCTTTGCATAAAAGTGAGTCAATGGCACATAAAAAAGATTGAAAACTATAGCAAAAGAAAGAAAGAAATGGTCAAGCCACATGTTTTGGTGATACCGGCCGTATCCAGCACAAGGGCATGTAATTCCTTTGATGGAGCTTTCAAGATGCCTAGCCAAACATGGCATCAAGGTCACATTTGTAAATACAGAGCATATTCACATGAAAATGCAAAATGCATTGGCAATGGAGGATGATGACATTGGGAGTAAAGTTCATCTAGTATTTATTACTGATGGGCTAGAATCCTTGGAAGATAGGAAAAAACCAGGGAAGCTTTCTGCAGTAATCATGCTAGTAATGCCCCGAACATTCGAGGAGCTTGTTGAACGGATTGTTGGATCAAATGGGGATAAAATATCTTGTGTTATTGCTGATCAGAGTCTTGGATGGGCCCTGGAAATCGCAGAGAAAAAGGCAATCAAGCGAGCTGCTCTCTGCCGAGCAGCAGCTGCACTTTTGGTACTTGGATTCAGCATTCCAAAGCTGATTGATGAAAGAATTATTGGCAATGATGGTGAGTAGTAACATTATAATCTCTATCTCCAAATTTTTCCTAGTCAGCAGCATGATCATATCACCAGCAAATGAAATATATCTTAGAATGTAGCTGTCAACGCAAATGCACTCATCAAGGTAGAAGAATCAGGATCTGATTCTTCTCACTCCTAACCATTGACCTGTTGTGCAAATATTCTGTATTTACTATTATTTAAGGCTATTACCATTTATATCTCCATTGTACAAATATAAATATTGTAACCTTTCCCACATATCAAATACAAGATTCAAATATTCTACATGGTATCAGCCTAAAACCGATCCCTTTCTTTCTTTCCCTATTCCTCCTACCCGAACCCTCTCATGGCCTCTCAATCTTCTTCAACCTCTCTTCCATCAAGCTCACAGACACAAATTACCTTCTATGGTTCCGTCAAATTAAACCTTTTCTTATTGGCCATGGCTTATGGAAATATGTTGATGGCTCCCCCCCTCAACCCTCTACTTTTCTTCCTCTACCAGCATCCTCCCCTGACCAAACAGCACCACAACCAAATCCCGCGTATGAAACCTGGTTCCAACAAGACTAACTCATTGTCAGCTATCTAACCAGCACTTTCTCTAAGTCAGTCTTATCTCTCACCGTTGGCTGTGACTCATCCAAAACCATTTGGGATTGCCTACAACGACACTTCTCTCAAACCTCATTGGCCAGTGAATCCATCCTTAGATTTCAACTCATGGACTTGCAGAAGGGCACCCAAACCGTGGATGAGTACCTCCGTCATGCCAAATCCATTGCTGATTCCTTGGCTGCGATTAATGAACCGGTCACCAATAAGGACCTCGTCACTAGCATTCTTCGTGGCTTGGGTCCCGACTACAAAATGCTTGTCACAGCTCTCTTAAATTTTCCTCCTCTTCCTGATTTTGCTGATCTGCGTGCCCGTTTGCTTTCATATGAAGCGTAGAATCCTCGCACTAACCTTGTCCAATCCGGTCAATCCACAGCTCTCTTGGCCGTCCAGCCTCCCACCTATTACTCACATCGTGGGGGCTCTGTCAATCGCGGCAGTTCTCGTGGACGTGGTCGTGGCAACTGTGGTCGTCAAGGTCGTGGCTGGAACCAGTCACAACATCAGTCTCCTTCGTTGCATTATAATGGTCCTTTTGGTTCCTCCCGTAGCTGGCAGCCATTCCAACAATCCAATTCCGCACCTCAATGGCCTACTTTCTCGCCGTGGCAACCTAGGCCTCATCCACAGCCCCCATCCTCTTGGTCTAACAACAGCAGTCAACGCTCTTCAGCTCCTGGCATCCTTGGCCCACCATGGTGCCCCACCTGCAACACCACTAAACATTCTCATGCCACCTGTCCTCACAAATTTCGTGGACCTGAGTCTTTCCCTTCCTTTGCTGGTGCTCAATTCCTACAACCCACTGACAATACTTGGAACCTTGACACCGGTGCCACCCATCATATGACCGGTACTGCCACTTATCTTTAGAATCCACAATCCTACATGGGTAATGATTCCATCTACTTGGGTAATGGTGACTCTTTAAACATTTCATCCACTGGTACAATTCCTATTTCTTTAGGCTCTTCGTGTCATTCTCTTCATAATGTTTATCATGTTCCTTCTTTACGCACTAACCTCCTTTCTGTTGCTCGTTTTACTCGTGACAATGCTGTCTCATTCATGTTTACTCCTGATTCCTTCCAAATTTATGACTTACATACTGGTAATCTTCTTTTTCAGGGCCCATGTAAGGATGGCCTCTACCCTCTTTCACTTCCCTCCGCTCCTTTCTTTGCCAAGTGTGCCCTCACTTCCATTCATTCCTCCGCTTGGCATCGTCGTCTTGGTCACCCGTCCTCCGCTGTTTTGTCTCGTCTTTCATCATCCTTAGGTTTTAAATTTAATAAGGATTTTTGTAAGCCTTCATTATCCTTAGGTTTTAAATTTAATAAGGATTTTTGTAAGCCTTGTGCTCTTGGAAAATCTACTCAATTAGCTTTCCCCATCAATGAAAATCATGCTACTATTCCCTTCTCTATTATTCACTCTGATGTTTGGATGTCCCCTAAAACTGGTTTTAGGTACTATGTCTTATTTACTAATGAATATTCCCGACACACTTGGATATACCCCATGCGCCGTAAAAATGAAGTATTTGAGCATTTTCAGTCTTTTGTTTCTCTCATCCGTAATATCTTTAACTCCCCCATCAAATTTCTTCAAAGTGACAATGGCACAGAATATTTCAACACCTCATTTACTCAATTTTGTCAACATTTGCGAATTCAACAACGGTTCTCTTGCCCTCACACTCCCCAACAAAACGGTCTTGCTGAACGCAAGCACCGCCATATCGCCACCATCATTCGCACCCTACTTACCACCGTCCATGCCCCACACTACCTTTGGGTTGAAGCCGCTCTTACAGCAGTTCATCTTATAAATCTCCTGCCCACACCCATCCTTCAATGGCAAACTCCATACACCACACTATATAATCGTCCCCATGTTTACTCCCATCTTCGGATTTTTGGGTGTTCTTGTTTCCCGTACCTTGGTGCATACACAGAAAATAAACTTGCCAACCGCACCACTGAGTGTGTGTTTCTCTGTTATAGTCCTAATCACAAAGGCTATCGCTGCTTGGATCCTTCTACTGGTCGTGTCTACACCTCATGCCATGTTGTTTTTAATGAAAATAAATTTCCCTTTGAAAGCTTGCAGGTGCCTTTCTCTCCTTGTTACACAGAACTGGAATTTAATCCTGTGTTGGTTTTGCTGTGACAAAATTGGAACATGTTATAAGGACATTGAAATGAATAATAAGTGGCAAGTCTTTACCATGACAAACTTCAATTATACTTCTCTTTGCAAGAACTCCCACAAGGGAACAAGTAATTAAGTTATTATTACCAGATATGCCTGGCATGAACACAGCAAACTTGGTGTGGGCATCCCTTGGCAGCAAGGCTTTGCAGAAAAATGTGTTTGAACTTATGGTTAGAAACAACAAATCAATAAAATTAGTAGACTGATTACTTTGCAACTCAACCTATGACCTTGAGCCTGCAGCATTTACCACATGGCCCCAGAGATTCTACCAAGGCCACTTTTGGAAACTTGTGGCACTCTTGTTTGACAACCATTTCATTTTCACTTCTTTGGAAAATTGAAAACATGTTTGGTAACAGGTTTCGTTTTTAGTTTTCGAAATCATCCCTATTTTTTAAAACATCTTGAAATCAAAAGGAAAAATGAAGACACGTGAGACAGTTTGTGAAATGGTTTGGATTCTAAGTCCTTTCTGAAGAAAGTTGGGTTCCACCCCAAAATCAATTGGCAATGGGGGGAGTAGCTTAACTCCTTATAAGTCCTTATTAGGTTTCTTAACTCTCCAACATAGGACATTTTCTCTTTCACATTCTCACATGTCATCGCACATGTGGCGAATTTTCAAGTCTAACACGTGGACAATACATATTGGATGACGTGGAGCATGTGCGGTTGCCGGACTTTCACATGTGGTCAAACTTGCTCTGATACCATATACAAACACATGCGCACGACTTTCGTAAAAGCCCGGCACAAAAGCCCGAATTTGTTGGCCCATGAGTAGGGTATGGACTTAATATATTTCATATAGGCCCAGCCCGGCCCGGTCCGATCAATTCTTAGAGTTCAAAAAGCCCGTTAATGGATAAAGTTTGGGCTCACATTTCTTAAGGCCAGGCTGGCCCGGTCCAGCCCATTTTACAGGCCAAAGCCAGCCTATGTCTTCGAATTCCACTGAGGGGTCGTTTGGTACGACGGACTGTTATGGACTGGACTAAATTATGGGATTGTCTTAGATTAGCTCAGATTGGACTAAGCTGGATTAAATACAGACCTATGTTTGGTGCTGCGTCGGACTAAGAAGCTGGATTGTAAAAATAGTGAAGACCTATGTTTGGTGTTGTATCGGATTAAAAAATAATTATTTTAATATTTAATTTTAATTAAGGATTTTGGACCTAAAAATAAATAAAAAGTAAATAAATAAAATTCTAATATTTTTTAAAGGCTAAAAGTATCTTATCTTTTTTTATTAATTTTCTTTTCTCCTTGTTTCTTTCTTCTTCCTCGTGTCTTTTCTTCTTCCTCTTCTTTCCTGACCCATTTCTTTTTTCATTCTTTCTTCCTCTTTTCTTCTTCCCAGGCCGTTTCTTGTTTCTTGTTTCTTTCTATCTTTCTTTCTTTCTTCCTCTTCTTCCTTTTCTCTTTTCTTCTTCCTTCCCTCCTTTTTACTCTCTCTTTATGCTGCCACAGATCCAATTGAATCAACCTGTCTCTCTCTGGTTCCATTAATTAATGATTGTGGTGGTTCGACTGGGTGGTGATGGTGGTTGACCTGGGTATGTGATGGTTGGTTATGGCTGGTTTGATTGACTGATTGGGTGATGATGATGATTCGATTGGGTCTGTTGTAGCTCGTTGTGGGTTTGATGGTGGTGGTCTGACAGAGGAAAGCAGAGCAAAACGGAAGAGGAGAACCAGAGAGGAGAGACAGAGCAGTGTTGAAGAGAAAAGAGAAGAGTAGAGCAACATTGGATAATGGCAGACTCGATCGTCCAAAACAATGACTTCGTTATTTAGCGGCACCTCCACGGAGCTCTCTATTTTGTGCGAATGAACGAAGAGTTTTTCGGTTGCCCGGATTGTATAGTCTCATTTAATTTAAAGAAGCGCTGCACCAAACGTGGGTTAAGGGTGTTATTTAAGCTAGTCCAATCCAGTCCAATCCAAGGAGGTGTACCAAACAGACCCTGACAGGACAAGCCTCACAGGTAGAAAGCTCCTTCCACCTATATTCCAACTAAAGCTTCCACCTAATGCATTTAAATAATGCCAATATAAAACCATATCAATTGCATTATGCCATGCACCAGTCAACCACGCATTAACCTAGGAATATTTAATCAACGCGATTATCAATAACAACAAGTGTCAGTCACAGCAACAAATAGAGAAGAGGGATTTCCAACATTAAGAGAGGTCCGTGTTAGATGGCTATTAGTCTGTTATAACTTATAACAACAGCATAAAGCTACACATGTAATTATTGTTTCACTATTCAGAAATACAATTACAATTTCCTTTATGGATTCAAATAAGACCAATGCTCCAAAGCTCTTTGTATATATAATATATGATACGATTCAGAAACCACATTTGAAAAAGGAAAAATCCAGAACAAAAATGAGCTACCCACATATAATAGCAGTTCCTTTTCCAGCACCAGGTCATGTGATTCCCTTGATGGAGCTGTCACAATGCTTAGTTAACCATGGCTTCACAGTCACATTTGTGAACACAGACTACAATCACAAGCAAGTCGTGAATGCCTTGGCTGCTGATGAAAGTCAGTTATTGGATCGTATTCACCTAGTTTCACTTCCAGATGGCTTAGAGCCCTGGGAGGCCAAGTATGAGTTTGGAAAGTTATGTGAAACAATGCAAAGAGTCATGCCTGGGAAGTTGGAGGAGCTGATAGAGAAGATCAACCAAGGGGAAGGTGACAAAGTCACTTATGTCATTGCTAATGAGAGTTCCGGGTGGAATCTGGAAGTGGCAGAGAAACTGAATATCAGGCGAGTTGCCTTCTTCCCTGCACTGCATCAGCTGCAATTTTGACTTTGCAATTCTCTATCCCAAAGTTAATTCATCAAGGAATCATCAACGACGATGGTAAGATCCTCTATCATGCAAATACTATGCAACACTCTTATGTAGTACTGGATGAAGAATATGAAATCCCACATCAGAAACTTGACAATATCTAATACACCATACAATGAATAATTACACTACTAAATACTAATAGAATTGAGGACTTTTGTATAAAACCCCATACCTGCCGAATATCATAGTTAAGTTATGGGGACAATATCGATGTTGGTAGTCAGGGCCGGCCCTTGGCCAGGGCAACCAGGGCCACCGCCCGGGGCCCACGATTGAGAAGGGCACAAAAAAAAATTTATATTAGCTTACATATATGTATATGATCAGACAAAAAAATATATATGTACATACAAAACAAAATTATAAGTGCTCATAAAAAAATAAAATAACTAAAAGTAATGGGTATGGCTAAATTATATTGCCCCTTTGCTCAACTGGTGTACAAATTACCTTATTTCCATTTTCAACATTTAAGTAAATGTCTTTGTCCTTTTACTTTTATTTATTTTTATATTACTCCATTTACTTAAGTTTACAATGTAAATAAGGAAGTACCCGCCATTTGGATTCAAATAAAAATACTAGAAAATCAAATTCCCACCAAATAAAAATATGAAAAATCAGTTTTAGTGCAAAATACGATTTATGCTAAAAATGATGGCTCATTAAGTGAATATATACTTCATA